ATTAAATTAAATTAAATAAAATATAAAAACATGTAAAATAAAATAATTAAATAATATTTAAAATAAATTAAATTAAAGATATAAAAATAAAATAAATTAAATAAATAGGTTTTATTTTTTAATACATCTGTATTGTAGTGCATCTCTCTATATTTCAAAATTTTACTAAGGTAACCTCTGTTGTGTAACTAATAAAAAATTATACTTAGTTCTAAAAGCTAATTTATCGAGGCCTAAGAATTAGAAAAAAATTAAAAACTAGAACCCGAGCAACGCCGGGTCCTGCGTGCTAGTTTTGATCAAAATAGCCACCTACGAGTTCTGTAAGTTTATTTGCAAATTCTACACTAAAAACTATTCGATCATTAGAATTACTAAGAACAGCAGGAAAAGACTCATAAACAGAAAAATGTCTACCACTAATTAGAAAACCAGCAGCTGCCCCTATATTATAAATAATATAAAATTTAATTTTAATTAATGTAGAAAACAACATATTTTTGAACATTTACCATTAGTATTTATTTTTCAGAGACCTCCTATTAATAAATCATATGGTTAGTGGTTAAGAAAGAATAGTAAAGAAAGTAGCATATTAACCTTGATCTACTAGTGGTAACCAAATAATGTTTGAGATAGCCATACTAGAAAGGTAACCTCCAAATATAACTAAACCACCGTTCTGTATAAACTCTAAACAAGAATAGTATCCAGAGTCACATAGCTATGAATAATAAGGTTTAATTAGATTAATTTACTAAAGCAATTTGCAGTTAAATCTTCAGTTAACATCACTATCTAGACCTCTTGAAGAGAAGAAGAGGAAAGAGGAATTAAAATGAACAAATAAATGAAAAAACTTAACTCCTAGTTAAATTCTAGTTTAGAAATTCTATTTGAGTTATCAGAGTAAGTTACTCAAAGTTAGTTAGCTAGTTAACATCAATAATTCTTGAGTGAGCGAGAGAATTTAAATAAACACAAAGTATATAGGTCAATTTTATTGATTGATAAAACCATGTATTTAATAAGAATTATCCAGCTTTTTTGATTTGTTTTTAGATGATCGAGGAATTACATTAACCGAAGTTTTAACTTCTAATGTTCCAAATAATATTTTCTTTAATACTTATATCTTTCATATATTGTGGAACCATTAAGAGACTAAACATATTATTGGGTATCAGACCTATTATGAAATCTGAGTCAGAATCTATAATAAATTTTCACACGAATACAGGTCAGAAAAATGTTGAGGTTATATTATTCCAAATATAATATTTAACCTGATTAGTAAGCATCATACTATATAAGAAAAATTAATATAATTATCGCTAATTATTTCAATATTTTTCTGCCATGGCTTTTTTACCTAAAATTTTCATTTCCACCTATCATTTAAAGACACGTTTAATATAATCATTAGAATTGGAGAACCTGGTTTATTTTAAAAATAGTTATAGTTGGCTCTAAATAAATGTGGTTCAAAATTCCAATAGTTACTTTATAAAAAGTTGACTAGCATGAAAAGCTTACCCTTTGACTTTAGGAATGAATTAAAGGTAGTACATTTGGTACTATCGCAATCTTTTTCGTATCCTGTTTGTATGTTAGATTAATTTCAGGTGATATTATTTTTTAATTAAAAGTTACACCTACCAAGTCCGAATACACCCGTTATTGTAAAGTCTTCTGCTAGTAAATAATCAAGATTATCCACCATTCCGAAAGTATATGACTGATTCAGATTGAAATCATTGACGTTAATGAGATCTGATGCATGTGAAGTTTGATTTTGGTTTGGTATGTTGAACTATTTGTCGGAGTAAAGATAAAACTGAAGTAATTAAAACATTTGGTAGACTCGACATAAGAGGACTTATTTTCAAGATCATATAATAGGGCGACACCTTGTGCCAGAGTTCCTATTTGAACGAGCGCAGTCCACTGACAAAGTGCGCATTAATGTTATAATTTTTTTTTTAAAAAAAAAAAAGTAATCGAAAAAAATATAAAAATAACACACCACAGTAGGATCATGGAAAATGTCAAAGGTTACATTAAAATCTCGTTTTTTATGTTTTGACTGTAATGCATCCAGAGTAACGTTATCGAGTAATTTATGCGTAAGGGTATGTGTTACCCAATTTTTTCTTGCATATTCATATTCTGATTGTAAATTATTCAGAGTAATGTTACAGGCTGGAGGTGGAATATATGATGGAGGATGTGGTATCAAATGTTCTATACCATTTATCAATGAAGTAAATTTCAAGAGTATGTATGCAAATAAAATAAATTGTATAAATGTTTTCATAGTGAATTTTTGATATTTTATAAGGTTAAAGAATCCGATTATTACTTTTATTTAACAAAATTTCACGAATATAAATAATATTTTCGAATGTAAATCCTTTATTAATAAAGATATCTATAGACGTGATGCCAGTAACCCGGAAATGTGTATTAAGTTGGTATGAAAATCGATCATCGATGCGTATCAGGTCTTATGGTGGACGTAGGAGGGTATCAAATATCCTATTTCTCGTGGTTTGCATCTTTTTGGCCAAATATTTAATATAAATATATTATTTTCATAGAGTTTGTCAATTATATCTATTCCCTAAAAAATCAACAACAATCAGGTGATTGTGCAATGATCTACAAATTTGATCAAAGTTGCAAACTGCGATAATACATACATACCATTATTTTTATAGTATGATTTCATAATAGGGATTTTGCACTCCCATACCATATTGATCTTATATTAATAATAAAAATAATTTTATTAACAAGTTTATTTCAATTGTTTTCTTTTTCGCTTTTTTTTCTTTATTTCACTTTTGATACTTGTATTATGATTTATGTTACCATTTTGACAAATTATAGTACTTATTTAATAATATGGGGGCTGTCAGTAGAACCAAGCAAATTGTTTTTAATGAGTTTTTTTAAAAATTTTAAATCAAAATATCTCAACAACTATTAGATTAAATCTGATAGATTTTTTTATTTTAATTCTATAACTACATAATATTAAAATAAAAAAATTTTATCAAATTTGGTTTAATAATTGTTGAGATATTTTATTTTAAAGTTTTAAAAAAATTTACTTAGAAACAATTTGCTTGGTTTCTACTGGTAGCCCCCATATGTATTACTATAAACTTGAACCAATTATTATATTTGAAATGTAAATATTGGACAACAAATATGAAGCTATATATATGTAGATCTTAATAGTAAAGAAGGTGTTGTAAATTGATTATATTAGGAAATTTTTTTTAGTGCAGCTCTGTACAGATTTGCAAAAAAATTAAATAATAAATCAAATGAAAATCTGTGCAAAGCTTCAAACCTGGTAGCTATAAATGCAGAAATTAAATACTATTTCTGTATAAAACTTCAAATTTTATAAAATTTTACAGATTTTTCCGCAAAAATCTGCAAAAATACAGATTTTTGCAGATTTACACTTATTTAATTTTCCTGATGTAAATAAATCTAGAAAATATCAAAGACTACCATGTTACGAGCCGAAACTCACCCAGAAAAGTTATTTCGAGAGATACACTAATATATCCATAATTATGCAGTGAAGTGAAAAAAAATATAAATCTGAGACAAAAATCCTATTGGTCAATGAAGCAGATGACAATAATGAAGACATGCAAAGACTTCTAAAAACTCAATAACTGTAAATAACAAGTCATGCACCTGCCATGCACTGGGAATTTTTTTGGTCAATTTTGTGTTGTTACTCTATAAGCTAAGCAACCAGGCGCAGTACATAGAATTCTTCGTGCTCGATTTTTTTATTGTAGGGGGTTCGTAATATTGGGTTTTCTGTAGGTCTAAATCAGTTAGGTTGCACTGAAGTTGATGTTTTTGGTCTGGGCAGAATTTTTGAAATGGCATGGGTAGCATATTGGTAAATGCAATTATGGTTTATTCGTTTCAGTCATTGTAGTTTTTTTAAAGGTAACGTGTATTTTGATAGTTTAACTGAATTGATAGCGCAAATTCATCAATTTTATGAACTCAAATTGGCAAATAAAATTTGTAAAAAGGATTTTTAATTTACTCTTATTTCATATTTATTATTTAATATATATTTATTTCACCTTTTTACCTAATACTAAAACTAATCCTACGCTACATTAATCCCACAGCACCTAACTCTAGCCAGTAAGTCCTGAACATCATTTTTTACAGTAACTCATGAAAAAAATTACAATGGTTCATTGCAAACCAACTCAACCTTAACTGCATACTGTGTATCATTTAAATTGTGAGTAAGTTCTAGATATAGAAATCATAATAATTCTGATAAAACTAACTCAACCTTAACCACTTATTGTGTGTTATTGTCATTATAATGAGTAAGTTCTTTGGCAATTTTTTACAGTAACCACAAAGAAAATATTATATTCCAATATAAACTAGCTTAACTACATATTGTGTGTTACCAGAATAGTAAGTTCCATAACAGAGTTTTTTACAGCAACTCTTGATAGAAATCCCAATGCAAACTAACTCAAACTTAACTACATGTTATTGTTACGGATTTTAATTAGCTCAAAGAATTGAGTATATTTTCTTTATTTTTTTATCTTCTATTATATTTTATTTTATTTTATTTTATTTCTCTGTATATAATGCCATCACGCACCAATTTCATTGATAACAATGCCCAATATAGTAAAGTTATTATCCGTTTAATGATAATTACATTAGTTATACAAAATAGCAAATTACACATGGCTTCAGAGACATAATAGATCTAATTTTCGCGTTGACACTGAATATTTAGCGTAGATGCTAAATTTCTAGCGTTGTCGCCAAAATATTAGCGTTGACGCCAAATTTTTAGCATGGACACTAAAGAAATTTAAGATGTATAAAAGCTCTAAGAAATTAATAAAGAAGGACAAGTTCCATGTCCATCTTTAACATTCATAAATAAAAAAAGTAATACACTTATTGAATTCGACTATAAACTTAATAAACCTTTCGTAACTCAATTTGATGGACGGAATTGGTTTGTAACTTCAAATAGGATTATTAAAACTCAAATTTTTGTGAAAACGGTATTTTGTCCATTGTTAGAACTTGGTCACGTAATTTTCTTTGGAGACTCTTTCATAAAAGACAAGTTTTAGTTTGTCGCGTAAAATTAAAACCCCACCACCTTTGGCAACCAACATCAGCTCATTGATATACCAGCCAGCTAACTTATCAAATACCAAAATCTGCTCAGCTATCATCTTAATCATCAAATTTCTAGATCTCTTTTCTGAATCATTTTGATTCATCACTTTGTAATTGCATCTGCAAGTTTCCTTTATTATTAATTTTGAATATCATATAGTTTATGAAAAGCTTATGGATGTTGAAGAAGAAATCAATATGCATATGAATCTTGAGATAGCTGTGGATATTTCTCGAATAATTAATGAATTAGAAGTAAA